CCACCCCCTTTTTTAAAAAAAAAATTTTTTTTTTTTTTTTTTTTTTTTTTGGCCTTTACATATAATTACGACCCAATTTCTACCTATTAACATATCCAACACCTAAATTTTACCTTTTACACAAATACCAAGCAAATCCCTCGTATTACTTCAAAAGTACTAATATTTCAATTTTTAAAAAGCGAAATGCATCTGTTTATACAACATGTAGCAATTATTTGGGCTGTAGATATCTTTATAAATACATAATAATCAAGTGGTATGTATGTAAATGTTTATTTCTCCGTTCCTCCCTGTCGTACCCCCGTCCTGTTCCGTCACACATTCCACACTCCCAAAATTGAACTGTTTACTACCGATTTTAGACCTGACATCTCTCCTTAAAGCGAAAGACACCGCAGCTGCGGCAGCGATGGCGGGGGCGGCGGGGGGGGCGGGGGGGGGAACATTGAAGCCATGATCTTGCGGATCGAGCACAAGTCGAAGAAGATTGAGAACTTGCTCAAGCAGTTAAGAGGATCATAAGCTAACCTCAACGACCGACACAACAATCGTTTTTTCTCTGATATCTAGCTTGTTTTTCGACTAAACACCTGATGTTCTACATAATGCTCAGATCGAAGCCGGTTGAGGCGCTGAAGACTGCTCTGGAGGGGTCTCCAACGAACACGAAGGATCAGCGATGCAAGGTTGGCGTTACCCCTTTCGTTTAGGGTTTCGATCTTGTTTTCCAGCTATTAAGCGTTGTGACTTTCTTCTAAATTAGGGTTTTCTTTCATTGCAGTCGGCTAACTGGATTGTGGTGCATCGAGCAATGATGGCCATTAGGGACGTAGATGGCATGTTCTCTTCTCTGGACCCGGAGTACTACGACATTCTCATGAAGTAAGGTCTTTTCAACCTTTTCACTGGTTTTTCATTCTTGAATACCTGCACCATTTTTTTTTTCACAAGATTGTAGTATGTTTTTGTTTTTTTTTTGTAGCAGTGAATGGAAATTTAGTGTAGCAAAAATTACATACATATCACACAATTCTTATGTATTTACATATCTGACACTCAAATTTTAATATTTGGCTACATAGCACTCGTATCTTTAATATAACATCAAAGATAACCCAATCACTTTCGTTTTAAAAGTTAATACCAAAGTGCTATAAATGCAAATATGGAAGTTTAGGTGTAAGATTTATAAATGTAAAAGAATTGTGTGTTATGGATGTAAATTTCCCTAATTTTTATGACCTTTTAAGTTAGCTAGCATCTATTGTTGCACCGGGCAAGGAAGTTTAGTTTATTGATGAGCAGCGGGTAAGTGGTTCGGTGGTTGGCCTCCAGCTCTTAGCCTATTTTGAATTAATTATTTTCCTTTTATTCAGTTTTACCTCTTGAGATCTTTGTATGTTGTAGAAGGTTCTATTTGTAAATGATATAGTTTTCAGTGTTTATATAGCAAATAAAAGTTAATCAATGCAAATAGGGTGTTTATTTTGTGTTTCTTATTTGATCATTCATGATTCACCTTCTTAAACTTTGAATACATTAGAATTGAAGCAACCAAAAAAAAAAAACTATCAATGTGTTGTTGATAGTTTAATTTCATTTTGGTCTTTATTTTAAACAATATCATCACCATTTGCTATATCCTAATTATTTTAGGGTTGGATCTATGAATTCTCAGTCTTTATGTATTTTTTAATTTGTTATACAAGATGTTAGATTTAATATGTAGAAATATTTTTGTGCAATTGTTATTCATGCTATCTTTTACCTACAAATTTGTTTTTCTAATCTTTTCATCTTAATTTTATCTAAATGTGCTAAGGGTGCATTTTCCAAACAAGTTATATTTGTAAGTATCTTCTATATATAATAGATTCTACTCTTGCAATTATTCTGATATAATCATTTCTCAATTTATTTATTCTTCTTTTTTT